ACAGCATGACATCAGTGTTCAACACTGATGCTTCACTGCCGTACAACCATGACTTATTTGAAAGCCCTATTGTGAAGAAAAAAATAAAGGTGAATGGGGGAGGGACTTAGTGCTAGCTTGAGACGACTATGTGTTAGATTATTCCTTCTCCCATATACTTCGTTTGTCTCTTCAGAATAATACGGTCAACATATTCTCCTGCTAAACATATAGATTCTAAGATGAAGAGATGGTGATGTTAAGCACTGGTACTACAATAAATGAAAATGCTAATTTCAAAGAAATGACGCCAAAAAATCTGAGGGTGAAAGGCCCACCGTTTGGCTCAAAAAACCAAACCAAACCAAACCAAACTTCGAAAAGTTTTCCATGTCGTTGCTTGAGACGACTATGTGTTAGATTATTCCTTCTCCCATATACTTCGTTTGTCTCTTCAGAATAATACGGTCAACATATTCTCCTGCTAAACATATAGATTCTAAGATGAAGAGATGGTGATGTTAAGCACTGGTACTACAATAAATGAAAATGCTAATTTCAAAGAAATGACGCCAAAAAATCTGAGGGTGAAAGGCCCACCGTTTGGCTCAAAAAACCAAACCAAACCAAACCAAACTGTCGAAAAGTTTCCATGTCGTTTTGCGAATGCCACTAAACGTTCAAGCAAATCTGGACTCTTTACAGATGTCCATTCAAACAACTAACCAGGAGGAAGTGAGATAGCTGGCGTAGTATGGATACATTTTAGGGGCTGATTGGTGTCGGCATCACCTTCCACCTTGGAGTTCCAACGGATTCGAATTCGTGAAGTTTTCGAGCACTGGGTTGGTTCTGTCCATATCAACCGCAAACAGACTTTTGGCAAAAGAGGTTCGCCTAGCAAATCTTCAACACCATACGAATCCACTATTGCCGGGGCTGCTGAGATATTATGATGAATGTCGTGTGGTCCACAAGCATTTCGGTTCACAGCAGTGGATCCAGAGCTAAATTGGATGGGAAGCAAACGGCAAACAGAAGCATTTGGTGGTGTACAAAGGAATTTAATTATGTCGAGATATACTCCAAGGCTGCAAATTCAACCTGCGTGAATCCCGAGATTAGTGGGAGCAGGAAATGAGCCATCAACTTCTAGTGTCTATTGCTGTTCGATCCAAATAAAAACGGAGTTCTGAATATCACTCCTCACAAGAAATCGACACAATTTTTGTGCAGACAGCTGTTCTTGTGCTAATTCAGTTGATACCAATGACAGTCTGCACTGAATACCAGCTAAATCTGCTGCGTAAAGGCCAACCCATAGTTCAAGTGGAACCGAATTCAACATCACTTTATTGTGAAGCCCACTTGTTCGTTATACGGTAGCCACCCAGCAAGAAAACAAATTCCAGAAACTAATCCCTCAGAATCCGACGTGATCGTCCTGTTTCCCATAGCACAACCACTGAGAGAAAAAACTCGATAGATTGAATGATGTTCGTGCTTGAGATTAACCAGTGGATCACATAACAGTCTTCAAAAACACACCATTCCTTGTGCAATTTGAGCCCAGACGTAGTTCGCCCGACTAGGTATCTCATTTTATTATCGCATGCTGTTCAACACATCAGGATTACTAGCTGCTATATTAGTGTTGCACTAACATCATCATCCTCAACAAATTCATACATCCCCAGTAAAGGCTAACAAATCGCGAATATTCCTCATTTTAAATCTGGATTACACCTAGTGCCGCAGTTCTTTTGTCTGTATCTTTAAGAGCGATTTCCCGATACTAATGTCCATCCACCTCATAATTTCAGTCCCACGTAACAAACAGTACCTACATTACACCTTATTCAATGTGCTAGAATGCACCATCGGTACTCCCTATGTGCCACCGCTCGCCTAGAACCCGTGTGCTGACGTCTGTCGAAATGTGTAAAACGTCCCAAGCGAAAAATGGTGCTCCTAACCAACGCCCTTGATCTAACTGGAAGGCACACTTAATAACGCAAACTGATTATTTTCCCAAGTTGCCATGCAGGTCATCGGATCATATGCAACTTCCTAGAATATTAGTAGACGAGGATGACAGGCCATCAAAACCTACCCAGTCGGACAAACCTGTATTTCCTACCACCGATGAATTTCGCACGACAGTTTCCAAAGCCCATGGGTTCGCACTCATTTAAGTGACGGACCCGAGTATTTATTTCACCAAAGAATATCTATCCTGGGTGGCCCAACAGCCTCTTAACTAGCGTTGCTTCAATGAACTCATCACCAGGATTCAAAATAGATCGAAATTCGAGCGTAAAACAGTGTCAAAAGTAAAAATGTTAGCTAATGAGAATGTGGGATTGCCAAGGCCCATAAGAAGTTTATTCAAGTAATTTGCAATGAAACATCACTAATCAGAGATTGGTAATCCGCACAAGTTTCCAACTAACGTGTTATTCTGAGGGACCAAAAAGATCATATTCTGTGACCGTCCTAGAATGAAAACTATGAACTCCAGAATACGCGTAGGCAATAAGACAAGTGAATTGGGACGGCTTACCGCATAAGAAGTGGACTGTTGCTGGACAGCCCGAAGGGAGACCCGGTGGTCTGGTAGGTTGGCTGAAGTAGGTTTAACTTCACCTGCGTGCCCGGAATGAACGGTCGTGTGCTGGATGGTGCAGATAAGCCTGTAACTGTACTGACGGACGAGGATTGGCGCGCCGCACGAACACTTGAAAGGCGGCTTATTTGGGCAACCAAGTTGGTGGGAGTGAAAGGACTCGCCTGAAGGAGGAAAGAACGGAAGATCCCCATAGTAGTATGTGAACTATATAGATTGGCTTGTCTATATCAGGCGCCTAGACCAAATGAATCCAAAGTCATGTGATGCTTACCTGAACCTGTTTTCCTATGGGTGTTTTTTTAATTGGTTGTAACACAGGCAGCAGTTTCAGTCCACCCTACGTTCTTATTCAATAAAATCCAGTTCAGGCATGAAAAAGTGTATGCATGGTCACCAACTGCAACTTGTCTAAACTATAATTATCGAAAGCTGGTCCCCGCGAATATTCACTTGTAATGAAAATACAGTCTATAAAGCATTCTCACGTTCAAAAAAAAAATTGTTGAAATGTGCCAGCATTGCATCGACGTTAAACTCAGCATTTCTCCTTGCGGTACACGAAGGGTAGAACTAGAGATCGGAGGATGACGACGTGTGATGTGGTGGCTTCACTTTCTGTATGTGGTTTCCTTGCTGACTGAGGTCAATGGCAGTGAGCACTCCGTACCTCCATCAGTCTTTCTTCCCTAAACTCGGCAAAGAACTTATCTAATATCTGCTGANTAAACTCAGCATTTCTCCTTGCGGTACACGAAGGGTAGAACTAGAGATTGGAGGATGACGACGTGTGATGTGGTGGCTTCACTTTCTGTATGTGGTTTCCTTGCTGACTGAGGTCAATGGCAGTGAGCACTCCGTACCTCCATCAGTCTTTCTTCCCTAAACTCGGCAAAGAACTTATCTAATATCTCCTGAACCGTAAGCTGCTAAAAACAGTCCTACATGGGAGGTACCGGTCGACAGCTTTACTGAAGATCCTCGCAAAATACTCAACAGTAAGATAATGATAAGAAGCTTGAAGCTCCTTATTTTTGAAACAGAGGAACTTTCCGCAAATTGCAGTTGTTCCTCCAACCTCAGCGTTCGCTCATTGCTTGATGACGCCAGTATGCAATGGTCATGTATCGTGGGCATGATTCATGGTGTTGTTACAAGCAACTTGAGAGCTGTCAGCGCTGGATTTCAGAACGAACCATGCGGTTGCCATGCCAGGCCAAGGAGGCCAGACTGTCAAACGGACCGTACGCACTACCGTACACACCATTGTTGAGCAACTCAGCCTGTCAGGAACAACCGAAATCAGCGCCCCACCAACCAGTACGGGGACTGTGTAAGATATCGATGACTACGTGAAGTTATCGTGTCACCTGTGACAAACCAGTGAAAAACTATCACCCACTTAGTGAACTCAATGAATTGTATCTGGAGAAGTCATTCCCGCTACCAGTGGGCAACTTGCCTGATGGGTGGAACTCATCAATCATATGCATCGGCATGCGTGTTCCACCGTGACCTAATCCGTCGCATGGCGCTGACTGTAGCCCTCCAAAGAAAAAACTTACCGAACGATCGATCTGTCTAAAAAAGAAAAACCCCTGGAGAGAGTAACCCTGCAGAGGCATGGAAAGGCGTGTACTACCACCGTTCTCGTGCCAATATATCATCTGCTATGGGATAGTGAGGTGACTACATTCGACTGGAGTACCTCTATTCTTCTACCTCCTCACAAAAGAGATGGCAAATCCACTTTTGACAACCACATTGGCTATTTAATATAGCTTCTAAGATAGTTTTCATTCTCCTTATTAATCGTTTGTCCAGCGAAAGACACGCATTACACCAAACCGGGCAGGTTTTGCTCTAGAAAAGAAAACACTGACTAAATCTTTGACGATAACCCTAGTCTAGAACACAAATATCAACAGCCAACCCTTATCTGTTTCATGACTTCAGGAAGGCGGGCAACTCTGTGAACAAGAAGCACTGTGGAACCCCCACGAAGTCAATCAGCCTGTTCTGCCTGACTTCGTTGCCAGAGAACGTGTCCGTATGGCAAAGAATCACCAAACTTTAGCTTGTCTGAAATTCAAGAGTTGTTCGCTGTTTTCTACACTGTTCAACTTTGCGGTCGTAGCACCGGAGAATGTTTTCGGGTTCAGACGCCTTGGCTCAACCATTTTTTCTACACGCCAGGCTGCGGATGAAGTCATAGTTCATTTGTACACTGACCGCAGAGCGTCTCCACAGCCGGAGATTGGAATACCGCACAGAAAAAACGCAACTGAAGACTAAGATTCGAATCCCTCTACCATCCCATTTGTTTCACTTCTGCTCGCGAAACATAGCGCACGCAAGTTTCAGACATCCAAATTTTCGCTATCGGTGTTTGAGAAACATTCTCAGACGGTGTCCCTAAGGCCGCGTGTCGAATGGAGAAGCCCACTATTGATGTTCTGGTATTGCTCGATTTGAACAGCTAATCCAACACAGTCATGTCCGATGGTGTGGAGACATCCTTTGCCGCGCACACATGGACATCGTCAGAGCTGTTTTTGCACTCAAACAGCGGCAAGAACGACACTGTCGTCAGCTGATAACCTTGGTCAAAACCGTTGAGGTCGACGTTGAAAGTCTGGATCTATGGGCTGATCGTGGCCCACGACACTGGAACCAATGCGGGGTCAAAATCTGCAACAGGCTTCCACTCATCGTCGTATTTGGGCAGCTGCAGTTAGAGACCTCCAAAAATCCGGAAGTTAGCAAAAGTAAATAAGCACGTGAGCCTCAACCAACTCATCAAAATCGGAAAGGTTCTATCGGATGTTCAGTTTCCTCACACACTTCTGCTTCCCATTCAGTTTAAGACAAGCAACCTATAACTTGGGACCGTTTGGGAACTGTACTCTTCGCCACTTCCCTTGTTGCCACTTCGTGCATTTTGTGAACGCGTCTTGTGACGATGCTGTGGGTAGACGATTCTCTCTTAAGGTCCACGCACTTGAACTGGAAACCTTCTCGGCACAAAATGAAGGTGAGGTAGAAAAGTGAGCCAGATGCGTATATTCACGCATTAGAGGACCTAGTATTATCACTCGCCGTCACCAGTAAGCAGACGTCGGGTATGTGGAAAATAGAAAGCAACAGTTGACGCCTACCATTTCACCAGGAAAGAGTATGACTGAGTAACTCGTAACCTGGGATTGGGAAACTGGGTGACATAATAGCGAAACGAGCTTACGAACGTCTCTTACACCAAGACTGAATTTGTGACTACTCAGCCAAGTTTCCATTCAAATTCAATGGAAGCACAGCAAGGTGACCGACAAGGGATTTTACAGCGAAATGGTAAAGGAACATCAAACGAGACGATGAATCTATATGCTCACGAATCAGTTTCTATACTTTGACGTCAGTTTATCAACTTACGTCTCTGATAAATAATGGACTTGATTTTTGACAGAACCTGTCAGCTACTGACCAAAAATCAGTCATCAATATCCACTAGAAACAAATCTATCACGGAGAACGTAGATGCTGATTTTAGTCTTCCGACAAAACAGTACGCTGGTCAAAACAGATGGGCTGGATGATGTTAAAACGTGCGCTGCATGAGAACCGTGTGAAATACATGTAATTCAGGGAAAATAAGCGGGTGTAGCCAGCATACAGCACTTGTAATTCTTAAAACTCCCACATCCCTTAAGCAAGTTTAGACGAAACATTCCTGAAAAAGAACGTACCTTTTGGTAGTGAATGACTTGTGTGAGGGGAGACTCCCATTTCGAACTTCCTTCTGGGGCTGGACAACCTCCACCGGTCAAGCGCGATAATGAAGCCGCAAACGGACTTAGGCAAACTTTCTGTTGAGAGTTCGGGGTCTGGAGAGCGACAGAACGACCCATTGGAGGGGGAGTGAGTCGCGTAGATTTTGGCATGCCAAGAGATGGAGTAATGATCAAATGTGTTGCATTGGTATGTTCTGGAAGGTTGTTTGTCGATTTCGTAAGTCCTCCGACTTCCTGTCGAAGAGCGTAAGGAGCCACACAAGCACGTCCATCCTCTCCAACCTCGTATAAATGTGCGTAATCCTTTAAATGGAAAGTGAAGCGGACTAAACTAAGTTTTCGGCGCCCGGAAACGTAAAAGTTCTGGTCGCCACCGAGCGTGTTTAGTGCACATCAAGCAAATAGCTATTTAACTCAGTGCGGAAAAAGAGAGCTGCCTACTCTTCATCAGGCCTTGAACTCACTTCTGGTACAGCTGATTGTAACTTCCATAGGGAATGGACACCGGTCACCAAATGTCTGGTCAGGATTAGATTGGAGCATGCGAAAGCGGTCATGACCTTGAGGTCAACATCCGAAATAAAAGATACCCCAAACCCTCCTGTTGGGAGTGGGATTTTGAGCAGAACCGGAGCAGCTTCGTCCAGTGGGTGGGACAGGCTGAACATGGTAAATGAAGTTCGTGAAGATTTTTGCTGACTGTTGTGTTTTACCGCACCGGAAGCTCCACTGATCTGCTGGGTAGGCCTCTGACGCTCAAGAAGAATGCAAGTTTCCAAAGGCCAAGCTGAACCGACTCGACAAGGAAGGCGAGCTGTGAATTGTTCTCCTTCAGAACTGATAAATGTCAGGCGTTCCGCTTCGAAAATTGCAATGCCCTGTTGCAACCTTCCAGATGTGCTGGCAGTCACCTTAGGCTTATGAAAGCAGATAAAGAAAACCGCATCATCTGATGGTCGCAAAATATAGGCATTGCAGGAAAAAAACGGAAAGCATTACACGGCAAGTAGATTTGGTTACCGTATGAGTAATAGGTGCATTCGTAGATGAAATATGGGTCTACGTGATATAGTTCTCAGAAACGGGAACAAAGAGTTTTTTGTGATGTAGATGGTTAAGAAATCGAGACGGTGGAGAATATGCATTAAAGAGTACAGTGACGTGATCAGTCACAAACTAAGCCCAATCATTTGGTTAACCTCACATGCACTCGAAAACCAAGGCAGAAACGAGTACTCCACAAGAACCACCGGTAACTTAGACGATTCCACACATTGTCCTCCACAGATCCCAAGAAATACACAGAGCTAATTCACTGATGACCGTGTGAGCTACCACCCTATTAAACACGGAGGTTATGCACGTATAAATGAAGATCACACAGATATTATTTCAGAGAAACATGTCGAGAGTTAAGGCGCAAGACCTCTATTGAAAAGTATGTGATCCGAAACTACTCCCCAATTTCTTGCCCCATTGTGCTTGGGTTTGGCTAACCTATAGAAACCTTTAGTGCCAATCTCCTTGGAGGAGCCGCCAAGTACTTCTATATAACACAAGCGGAAAGACTAAACAAGTCATGAAGAATTTTCATTCACGATATTAAAGGGTGCACTCCTCTCAAAATAAAAGAGAGATTTTGGACTGATAAAAAATACGTGAACTGGTCAAAAACAGGAAAATTTAAAGCGAATCAAACTCACAATAAAGCTGTCGGAATGAGAAGACGGCAAGAAAAACGATGCCCAGCATGCTGTCACAATAGGAGTTTCTGTTTCATGTATAAGTTTTGGGAACTGTGCGGAAAACTCGGAGCTTGCATTCCATATCAAATAATTGTTATAGGTGTACAGCTCTTCAGTGATACCGTTCAATCTTCGAGTTTGGCAGTGTTCATTCTTGAAATTTTTGTGATGAACTGTATCACAGGTAAGCTCATAAGTAACGCTTTCCGTTGTTGGAGTAACAAACTCGAGCACATACTGCTGACCCGTAGGAGACCAAACGACGAGCGTCTTGGATGATATCATATCATCTGTCATTTAGGGAAACTGTGCAGCACGGAATCAGTCGAGAGACGGTATGGTTCTGTTGAGAACTTCCGAGATGGGCTGCAGTAACGTACAGAAGATTGAAAAAGTGACCACGCATACAACCACGACATATTTGTAAGATTTGTTGTGAGAGTATAAAGTTGGACAGGAGGGAGACCTGGTACTACCCTACAATGTCAGACACTCATTCGGGCAATCCGGTTAGAAACTGACAAGAACGCCACTGACATCGGTGGGCAGCCATACCTTGAAGCCTCTCCAACCAGGCGCAGTGGACCCCAACCTGGAAGGCAAGTAGCACCGAGGTCACCCAAGTGTTTCGTTATCTCCTTCATATCCCTCTACCAGGTGATGAGTTGGCCATCTCCTTGCTTCAACCATTTCGAAGACGAGAACGATGTCGTCTGCATATTCCAGGTCGACAAGGTCTTCGTTACAGGTTATTTATACACCAGGGTTTCGAGTACCTTCAAGCGTTCGTCTTATTATCTCATCGATCACAAAATTATATAGGAGTGGAAAGAGTAGGCATCCCAGACGAACATCGCTTTGTATAGGGAAGCTTTTGGAGACCTCGTCGTATACTCTCGCACGTCCGGAAGTCCGAGAATACAAAATGCTTATTATGTTCCCGAGCTTCCGAGGCATTCCTTGGTTGGCAAGCGTGTCAAGAACAAACCGGTCAACCGAGTCGAATGCGTCCTGGAAATCCAGGATACTAGAATTGTGAACCACTTACATGTATGGCGTTGTTCTAGCTCCCGGCAGTGTGGAGATTTGGTCAACGCAACCCCTATTAGGCCGGAATCCAAATTGCTGCTCTTGAGTCAGTGTTTCATGAGCTACCGTAAGGCGAGGAAGCATCAGTGATGCCAACAGTCTCGTTAAGACCGGGGATAAGCTGGTCTACCTGTGAGCTCACTGTGAGCTCTTCTTTGAAAATGGCCACCGATTCTCCAGTTGTCTGGGAAAGTCTTCTCTTCCCAAATGCAAGCAAACAAACAAACAATCTAAACAGTCCTGCCTCACGACTTGGCATGCACGTCACACTTAAGAAGTCTAAGGTGGTGCTGCGAGACTGCGCAAGCACGAATCCTAATCTCATGCTTCAAATCCTAGGCGATTTTTTTACCCTGGCAGCTTTATCAGTCCCAGCAGTCTAGCCAAATATATTTCCATCCATACTCGGGAGGCCGAATCAGCCTTCGTGAACCTGCATCACATGTGGCCTACGCGTTAAATCAGCTCATCCGTCAAGGGTCGAGTACATAATACTGCAGTGCGCTCCATATTATCATACGGGTTAGAAACCTGGCCGTTGCTCGCTGAGGACATCGAAAGACTTTAATTGTTGGACCATTAGTGTTTCCGTAGCATTGCCCGAATATGGTGGGAACACCGGATCAGCAATACTGAAGTAATCCAAATGGTTTTCGAAATAACTCGCCCACGATTGGTGAAATGAGCACACTCCATAGGTTACGCTGGGTTGGCCATGTGCTCTGGATTCCAGTCGACTGACTCTCTCGGAGGGTGGGAACGAGCCTGGAGAGGTCAGAAAAACGAAATATGGAAGCCAGTTGCGCAGGTTATTGCCATCTCCCTGGGAAAGAACCCCGGAACGGGACACACCAACGGTTAGAGACTTTGTAAGACATGGCGCAGTCGCATCCTCAATGGCGCCCGTGCATCTATACTGCCTCCCAATTTCCTTAATTAAAAGTTCACTGACAACCCTGTATTTACACATCGATTACATCAGCTACCACATTCAATGCGCAGCTACCCACCCATCTCCTCGAATCATCGGTGGACGAAGCTGTGACGGCTTTAACCACCGTAAGGCAAGTACGAGGTTCTTACAGCTATCCTTGATAGATTTGTGTCAGGTCGTCGACGCAAACACCAGAGGTTGAAGACCGCAGTTCACGTCTTTCCAATGCAGTTATTCTGCCTTCCGGTAAATCTCCCGGATTTATGCAGCTACCTGGATAGATAAGCTTATTTACCACATTGATCGATTCACCTTCAGGCATAACTTAATCATGCAGAAGCACTTTACAGCCCACGGGTGCAAACCGCATAGCTAAACATGAAGCTAAATTAAGACAGTTTGTACCCCGTAAGATCGGTGGTGTTATGTTCTCTACTAATCAGTCAATCAACCTTGAGAGTTACACACGAAATTGAGAAGACAAAAAGGCTTGAGGAAATTATACTGCAGCAACTGAACAGCCAATATCGAGATTCGAAGAATCAAGAATGGAATGGAACAAAACAGTCCAATGAAAGGCTGAAATAGAGAAACAGGAATGTTGAGCAATATATTCGTTAGGAGCGCCTCCTAACACCTCCCCTTTGAAGTCATTGTTCGTACGACTGGAGTTGTGGGTTCAGTTGCATTCGTATGACAGGCTTTCTGATCCGATCGGTCCATCTTCTGGGTGTACAACTTTTGGAAATTTCTGGTTCATTCATCGGCTCTGGAGATTTTGGCTTTTGAGCTAACTCAAATGTGTCGAGAAGAGTCTCCAGTGGAAGAACAGGGTCGAGTGTAGGTGCCGCTGGAAGATAGGAAGCGCGTAGCTGATTGGCACGACGGACCCAGATAGAGGAGCCTACATTTACCTCACAGATATCTCTTCCCGCCCGGCGCACAATTATGCCTTGTGTCCACTTTTCCGCGCCACCACGATAGTCTTTCGCTAGCACAGATTGGCCGGTATAAATATGTTCTTTGCAGCACCGTGATGTCGGTTAAACTGAACTTCCATATTTATGTTTCTACCGGTTGGCAAATGTGGTGTTGGACGGATGACGTCAACGGGTAAGCGGACCTTCCGGTTCATAAGTACCTCCGCCGGGGACTTACCATGTGGAGCGTTAACATTTGGTGTCGC